AAAGTCTAAAGGAAGAAGATTTGGGATCTGGAGGATTATTTTTTTTTTGCACTGGAACCACAATGTTAATGAAGCAGCTATCACAGTAGAGTTCAAAGGCAGAGAGAGTTGAAAGATGCTTACGGTCTCTAGAGGAATGACGTTTTTAATGGAAACCTTTGATTTCAGCTGGAAATAGTATGTTGAATGAGTGAGTGGTTCACTGATGATTAAAGTAATGCATTACCCTTTTTACTGCCCTTACCAGTAAGCTACATGGTACCATTTTCTGGCATGATTCTGTGACGAGTCATACACACATGTTAACAAATCCACTACATGTTGCATTAATCTAGTTAGTCCTGCCTTCTCCCTCTTGCATAATTCCTAGTTGCTAAAGCTATTTTTTTGATATTCCTACCAATACTGCGGGTGCTCAGAGTGCTTTTATGGCAGCGAGCATCTGACAGGTATTGGTGACTAATCAACTAAGGGCTAAAATACTGAAACAATAAAAAGAACATTTTGAATATACAGTGCTTAAGCAAAGAGAATTTTGGAAAATATTTTTCCCCTGGGTTTAAAAGGTCTGACTCTGAGCTGATGCTGTCAGAAACTCAAAACACGACTATGTACCGATGGGACTGGAATGCATCGTCTTTGACCCTCTGGACGACGGTCATCGTATTAAGCTTCTTCTCTCCATTGTGGCTCATACTTGTCGCCTTTCTGTCTGATTCCTACTGGTGTTTTCTTCCCTATCTTGAGGAGTGTCTTCGGCACAGCACAGCTGCTCCTCTAGCAGGAGGCTGCAGGCACACAGCTCTTGGCTGGCCAAAAAATAGAACGGGAAGCTGTGAGCCTGTTTCTGCAAGTCTTGGGAGAACTGGCAAAGGATCAAGAATGCTTTCATCTGAACAGCAGAAGAAATGCTATTGGAATTGCTGGTAGCAGTCATCAAACTGATTGTTTCACTAGACCCACCCCCCCAAAAAAAAGAGAATTAGGAAGTGCAGCGTGCTCCGAGAGAGGCTAGCAGGCCTGCCAAAATAAAACAACAATGCGCTTACGTGGCGTGAGGACCTCTGGGTTCAGGAAGCTTATCTACCTTGGGACTTGTTACAGGCACTATCTCAGGATCACATATGTGTATAGTTTATAACATATTTAACTTTAAAAGCTTGGCTGCAATCTTTATTTTAAGGTGGCACACAGCCACTTGAATCATGGAAGTATGCAGTACCGCTGAGTGACCCACACTGGATTTGATCTTGCAGGCTTTGCTCATGCAGGTAAGTCCCACGAGCCGTAAGAGCTCTGATCCTGTCAGCAAGGACAGACAGCCAGCACCCTTACGAAAGATTTCCTCTTTGGCGGTGCCAAGTCACTGGCCTCCCTTCATGTGCCTGTTGCTACCATGCTGTATTACTGTAATCTGACATCCCAAAAATGCTGATTTACCAAACAGAGGTTGTAGAAATGTCATTGCAGAAACCACTGGCATTTCAAGGGTCCTACTTATTGTCCTCCATGCACCCATTCTGCTTCAGCCATTTGGGCACTCTGGGAGGCTGAGAGACGCGGCCGAGTGGCACGTCGTGCTGGGAGAGGCAGCGTGGCTAACAGAAACACCATTTTTCTCCTACCTCAAGAGAGCTGAAGTGCTTGCAAGTCTCGCTGCTTCGTTAGAGCAAATAATACAAAGCTGGGGATCCGTGGTGACCAGGCTCTTATTAGCTTACCCTGCAAGAACAACGAGGTTCACCAGCGCCTTTATTGACTCTGGGGCAAACTGGGCACCCAGGCCTGCGGGCATAAAGTGTCCTGGACTAGAGCTGCTTGGAAAACTGGGGTTTATACTGCAGATAGCTGACCTACTGTTTCCTCCTACTCTGCTCCCCCCCCCCAAGCTCTAAAATGCAAGTTAATGTTCATAAAAGTTTTGGAAAGAATTCAGACTTTGCTGTATAAATCTTGTCTGTCTGGTGTGAAATTTAGTTTGTTAAAACCCAGTTGTTTTGTCCTGAAACTGATTTAGGAGAGCTCTGAGCAACTGTGTCCTGGGTGTGGTATTGCTACAGGGGAAGTGGTTTTGGGGAGAGGCGGTGGAGATCTGCGCCTCCACAGAGGTGTTAGAGAGGTAAGCGAGGAGGGTCCACAGTTACAGAGACGTTTGCCTTTCTGCTCAGAAGAATTGTCTGTCTTTCAAGGTGTACAAATAATACATGTCACGGAAAGCTTTTGGTGTATGCTGCAGTACTGGAAGAGTTAAAAGACCAGCTAGGACGTGTATTACAGCAGGGGACAGAAAACACCCACAAAGGGCAGGTGAAATTACGCTGTGCTACTGCAGATCCCAAACTGCAGTGATGGCATGGCAGTCTCCAATGGGGATTGCGATAGCATACAAATCAGCTCATGTTTGACTGGAGCGTTTCTTTTTGTGCTGTCAGAAAACCTTCTGAAATGGAAAACCACCACGTTATTGGAGACAACTGACGCGCTTGTTATTCTAGTTTATTGCAAAAATATTTAAACTTTGACAAACCTGGCTAACAGATCATTCAGAAGTTTAGAAAAGAAAGAGCTCCTTTGGTATTTTTTTTTCCCCTAAAAGGACATAAACATATAGCTTGGCGGGGACCGTCAGATGAGAATGGCCCCCTTTCAACTTCCGCGTGTCCCCTGCTTGCCCCCGCCGCTCTCGTATCTTGATCAAACGCTGCTCACTGGTTTCTAACTTTCGCTTTTTAACTAAAAGCTAAGTTTGGGGGTTTATTCAGATTTTTCACTTAAGGTCTGTTTTTACCCGCTGCTCCAGGGTCCGTGACGTGCGTTCTTGCGTTAAGCACAACACGTGAAACGGGAGTGATTAAAAAAATACAAAAAAAAGTTTTAAAAGCAGAGCAGTCCTCCCCCAAGGCTTTTATTTTTTTGTTTTAGTCAAATTCCACAATACTCCGAAGAGGGTAAAGAGGAGGAAGATGGTGGGAGGATGGCAAAGGCCAAATCTGCTGCGGCCACCCCATCATTAAGGATTTTGGTGTGAACGGAGCCACATCAGCCCCTGCTGTAGTACACAACTGACATACCTGTGGGCTGCCACGCTGCCAACCGCAGCAGCCCAGGGCCAGAGGACCGACTGGTGGGAGAGGAGGGGTGTTACACAGCAAAAAGGAGTCACTGTTTAATTAAGTCTGTTCTTAAATACTGATCCCTTGGCCAAAGAGGAAAGAAAACCTGTGAAAGCACCTGAAAACTGAGTCAGCTTTTGACAGTGTCATGTCTGAAATGTAGCCCAGGCAAGAGCCCTGGGTTAGCACTGGCGCCGGGGTCAGCCAGGCACATTCCTGGTAGCGCCTTGTTTTTGCTGTGGGTCTGTTATATTGTTATTTGTACGTATTTCATTAAAAAGTGTCACGAGAGCCGATGCAGAGAGAGGCTCTGCACCCAAATGAGCATGGGGCGGCCAGCGGTCCCTTAGGAAACTCTCGTCTCCCGGGGGAACCGGCACTGCCCGGCTCAGGACTTGTAGTGCCTTCTCCAGCACCGCTGGGGTTTCTCGTTTAAAATGGAGAGGAGTGCTAAACGAGCAAAACAGTTTTTGCTTAATTGGAGATGTTTCTCTGTGGCCTTGCCAGATGAAGCTCGGTTGCAGGACGATGTGGAAAACAAACAAGCTGAAAGGTTTCAGTCCTGTGGTTATTGTTAGGGCGATCAGCTGGATTCCCCCCGCTGTTGGCACGGCCGGTGAGTGAGCTGGTGTGCCAGCACCCAGGCACGGGGGGGAGGAGGTCAGAGATGAGATGGATCTCTTTTACTGAAATTGTCTGTGGCCACTGAATACAAAAATAGCCTGCGTCAAACGCCTGCTTGAAATACATCCTAAAGAGTCATAAAGAAATCATTCTGATCTGAACTTCTTTCCTGGGGCGAGCAGGATTTCAGTACTTACAGAGAGTTACGCGCATTCCCAAGGTCTTTACTCAGTTCGGGTTTAATACGGCCTTATTCTGCAGTCTTTCAGTGATCACGCATTTGAGCAAGGTGTAGCAGGATCCAAGACTCGTTTGCTTTTTGGACTAGACTGTATTTTCCGTTTATAATTCCTCTATTACAGGAGGCAGCATTAAATTCCCTACTGGCAGATAGGAACGCTTTACCTGAGAAATGTCAGCGGCCATTTAACTCAAGCCAGGTGTTTTCAGCCAGCTCACTTTTGCCAACAGTAGCGCCCGCTCCCTTCCGAGTCACTAATTACATCATAGATGTAGATTTTGGAGTTGCGTTCACTTGAAGTGATCCAGTGGTTTAGTAATTCAAAGACCATCAGATGCTGTGATGAGAATGAAGCACAGGGCAATGCCTTTCCTTTGTTCCCCTGTTCCGCAAAACTTGCTCAGGTTTAAAAAAAAAAAAAAAGCCACCAAAATAGCAGACTTTTGCCATGTCAAAGCCAGAATATTTTTTGTTCAAACAAAAATAAACTTTTGTCTTGTGCAAATGAAGCATTATACTTTTTTTTGTATCTGTAAATCTGTGGGGAAGCATTAAACAGTCATCTCTGTTACGAAGGAATTAGTCATTGATAGAGGGAAGGGGCTCGCCTTCCTGATGTTTCATTGTAATGTTTGTTGTATATATTTGCACATTCAACTGTGTATCTTTTTTCTAATAAATTAATATAAAACGTAGCTGTGATCTTTAATTATTTTGATATGCGAAGGTGCTCATACGGAAAACTTCCACATTTTCCATTTAATGCTTTTTTCCATTTTTTAAATCTCTTATTAGGCTGTGACTTGTTCATATAAATTATTTGGATGCAAATTCAAACAAATTTGCAAACAAATTTCATACACCTGTGTATCAGGAAGATTATTTGCAGGTGACTTGAGAAACAAACAACGATGAAGTTGCGACCTGGGCTCCTGGCTGCATCCTCCTGGGGGCTGGGTAAGTTGCAGCCCCCCAGCTCCAGCTCCCGC